TTAGTCACATATACGTGTGACACCCCATGCATGTGCAGGCACACACACACACACACAAACCCTGCCTCCTCAGTCAGTCCAGATAACTGATGTCCATGGGGTGACCTTCCCCACCCCGACCTCCTCATATGCATCACTCCCAGGCCCTCACAACACTGCCCTGATATTCATGAGAGCCCCTGGACTAGACACCTATGAGCACAGTGTGCTGCCCACATAGGCCCCCTCCCTCCCTCTCTACACCCCCCTCCCACTAGCAGCTGTAGGCCCTGGCCCAGCTGGGGGCGGCCCTGGGATTTGGATGGGTGACTCAGGCTGAATCATGGCCCAGCTGCTCCTTGGCAGCCCTCTCTCCCATTCTGCCCAGAGAGCCTATTTTGAAGGCTGAGGTGGGCCTTGGGGCAGGGGGGACAGGAAGAGGGGGTAGTAGGGGATGGGGACAGGGAACAGCGGTGCTTGAGAAAGAGGAATCAGGCACAAGAGGGCCTCTGAGCTGTCTTCTGCTCCTCAGTGGTCTGCAGGTGCTCTCAGGCAGTCCCCAACCTTGACCTTCATTCTGCCAGAGAAGGAGCTCCTTCTTCCCAGACACAGGTCATGGGCTACCTCTCTGATCCCAAGGCCCACTTTGGTTGCCCTGCCCCACCTCTTGGCCCTGATAATAACAGTAACAATATTTACTATTCTAATTCATCATTCACATGTTACAGCACTCTATAGTTTGCAAAACACCTTTTCATCAGTATCTCATTTAATTCTCTTATCAGTGCTATAGGGTGAAAATTAGTATCCTTACTTTTGAGCTGAGCAAATTGAAGCTCAGAGAGGTTACATGAACTATCCAAGGTCACCCAGTCGGTGAAATGACAGAGCCAGGAACCAAGCTCAGGATTCCTGGTCCAGTCTGTGGATTGGATTAGGGCCAGAGATGAGCTACAGCTGGACATGGTGGGGTATAGTGGCAACATGGTAGGGGGACTGGGGGGTGGCATGGTAAGGCATGGTTGGGGCATCAAAAGGGGCATGGTAGGGGTGCCTGGGTGGCTCAGTCAAGTTAAGCCTCCGACTCTTGATTTCGGCTCAGGTCATGATCTCAGGGTTGTGAGATCGAGCCCCACAGCAGGTGCTGCGCTGGGTGTGGAGCCTGCTTAAGAGTCTCTCCCCGCCCCTCCCCCTCTAAAGAAAAGGGGGTGCTGGTGGAGCAGCATGGAAGGGGCACTGTGGAGGGTATGGCAGAGGCATTATTGGTTGCTTAGTGTGCAGCAGGATCATGACAAAATTTTTCTCTTTAGCCTCTGCAACTCATGGATTATGGAATTTTTTTATACTGTTAAATCTTCTTTTTCATTGTTTCAGGCCAATATCCTGACACTAACAAAACCAAAGCTGTGGAGTTGCTACTGAGAAGACTTCAGCTGTGGGGACTTTGCTTCCTGAAGCCTCAGTTTCCTCATCTGAAAAAATGGGTCCAGGCCTCTGGCAGAGTAGGCTATATTGAGAGGCACGAGTGAAATCACATGCATCATGTCCTTTAGAGGCTGTGAAGGACTTCACAAGAGATGCTGTTTTTTACATTTTGTTTTATCCTTTAAAAAAACACCCATGGATGCTGGGCAGAGGGCGAGGTGGGCTTCTAGGAGCCTGGGGGAGGCGCTGAGAGGGGGAGTGGGTGACAGCTCTTCCTCCCCCCGCTGCCTGGGCTCGGCCTGGCCTTCCCCCACCCTCAGCCCAGAACCAGTTTCTAGGCAACGGGATGGATGCAGGAATGGTTCGGAGGGGAGAGAGCTATAAATAGGGAAGGGAGAAAACAAAAATAAAGTTCCAGGGAAAGCTGTGGAGCCAAATTACTAGGGGTGGGGGTGGGGAGACTGGGAGGGAGACAGGCGAATGGGAGGAACACCAGGACAGCCCTCAGCCCTTCATCAGGGGAAGAGGGCAATTTTCAGATGAGCCAGCCAGCAAAGGCCCTCTGAGGACTGACATGGGTGCGGTGCAGGGGTGGGGGTGGGGTCTCAGGTGCCCAGCTGAGCAGGATAGGGGTGATGAGAAATCACTTCTTGTTGGAGAACAAGGGAAAGATCAGAGAAGGAAAGGATTTCAATAGGCAGCATTGAGGGCGGCTATCCAGGTGAAAGAAAGAGCACAGGCGGAGGAAGGGAAGATGCGGGTCAGGTGAGGTGGGGCTGGACCCACAGACTGGGGAGGCCGGGCCGGGCTCAACCTCGCTGCTGGTCCACCCGCCATGTGACATAGACACAGAAAGGTGGGCCCTTCCTCAGCTGCAGTGCTCCTCTCCCCAGATCTTCCCATGCTAACCCCCCTTTCATTCAAGTTTCAGCTCCAACCTCACCTCCTCAGATGTCTGACCTGACCACCCCAATTTAATACTGGTCACCACCCTCTCCTTGTCATCGTCTCTCACATCACTCTGTTTTATGTTTGTCACAAAACTCCAGATTATCTTGTTCCAAGTTTTTGTTGACCCACGGGATGTGAGCTCTGTCAGGGCTGTTCCCTGCAGCCCCTCACTTCTAAGAATGGTGTAGGCATTGTTGAAGGACTAATCTCACACAACACACTCGGGCAACATCCATGTACACGCGTGGACGCAGATACACCTGCATCACATAGGTAAGTGTGCACACACAGCTCAACCCTCCCCTCCTCGCTTGCAGTCCCCATGAAATTGCATATGAGTGTCTGGTTTCTGCTCTGCGGCTGCCTCCACATTTCCCTCTTGTTGGTGTTTTTTGTCTCTCCCAGAGCAGGTTTGTTTGGGAAAATTCCAAAGGAGGTGAGCTTCAGACTCAGATTTGGGGCTGAATGTGGCCTTTGCCACTTCCCAGCAATGTGACCTAGAGCAGGTAACTTTGCCCCTCTGGCCTCCATTCTCTCATCCATAAATTGGGGCATTAGAATACCAAGGACCCCTTGAGGATGGTTTCAAATAAAATTAATGGAGTCAAGTGTTGGATGCTGGGGACCTACTGGGCACTTGAGAAATGACTTCATTCTTTCATAAGGGAGGAACCCATGAGCTGTGTCTTCTCACACGTGTACCCAGAGTCAGGACTGCCGTGTGACACAGGGCTGGCATCTTCCGCGGATGCGTCTGGACCTGTGCCTGGAATGCATTTAAAGTGACTCTGGCAGATGAAAACATTGGTCTCCGAGCAGAAAACCAGGTGCGTGGCTTGGCACCCAGGAAGGAGGAATAAACCTCCTCACAAACCAGATGGTCAGCCTGGTTTTGGCACCTAAAAATGGGAATCAGGTGCTGGTAGCAGGAGGGGAGGTGGCGAACTCAAATTCTTTACCAGCTAGGTAGTTCATAAAAATGAGTGAAGTGGATGAGATGAATAGGATAGGGAGGGAAAGGGACTGTCGCTAACTGGAATCAAATTAGAAAAATTTAAACCTTGTGCTAGCACATTAAACATCTCTACAGGCCAAATTTAACATGAGGGCCACGACTCTGCAATCCCCGCGAAGAGTGGATTTGTAAATAGTGTCTTAAATCGGTCAAAAGGGATCTGAAATCCTGGCACCTGCACGTTGAATCGGAGACTCTGAGCCCACCGGTTTGTTCTCCCTACACACACGTCTGCCAGCTGCCTCCTACTTCCGGAAATAATGGCTCGCACATTGCAGGCCAAGGTGACCTGAGTGGACCGGGCTCCCGCAGCGTTCAAGGCCTATCCGGACCTGGCACCATCTCTCGCCCCCAAAGACTCTGGGAAGGACGAAGCGCTAACACCTGGGGGTTGATTAAATAGAGCAAGCTCCTTCCGGCGCTGGGGCTGAAGGACGAAACAGGGCTAAAGTCGGAAAGGAGGTCGCACCCGGGAGAAAAGGGGGTGACGTCTTGCGCAAATGAGCTGCGGGCTCCTGCGGCAAGGCAAAGCGGGGGGCTTCCGCAAGGGCGGGGGCGGGGCCTCTGTACGACCAGGTTAGAGAGCCGCTGCGGCAAAGGAGGCCGGAGCGCCGCACCGATGGGGGCGGGGTTTGCCACCGGCGGGGGCGGAGCTTCGGCGGGGGGCGCTTCAAAACCCAGCAGAACAGCACCCTCCCCTTGCCGGAGGCGGGGCCTTTGCGCCTCACGGCGGCGCCTCCGCCCCCTTCTTCCCCACACCTAGACGGTGTTGGGGGTCCTCTAGTGCCGATCCTTATCTGCTCAGGGCTCCTGGCCGGCTTTCTGCGGACCCTCGCCCATCTCAGCGGAGGCCACAAACCTTCGGGAGCCTTTCCGAGGGGGGGTGGAGCACCGGTTGCCCGAGCTCTGCCTCCTTATCCTTATGAGGCGACTGCCCATTCCCCTTCCCCTTGGATGGGTCTTTCTGCGTTGGTCAGGTGTGCGCAGGGCTGTGCGCCTGTAAACGTTCTGCCTGCGCGTAACAGGGTCTTTCGGTACCCGCGCTGCTGGTTTCCGAGGGCTCCTCCGCAGCGCGCGTGTAACTGAGTGCGCGCGCGTGTCTGCACGTGCCGGTCAGCATGCGTGTAACTGAGAGCGCGCGCATGTCTGCACGTGCCGGTCCGCATGCGTGCACGCGTGTCTACACGTGCGCGCCTGCCAGGGTGCGTACACTCCGGCTGGCGCGCAAGGACCAGTGTACGCGCACACATGTCTGCGCGTGCGTTGTCATCCGCGCCCCTGCTCTGCGTGTGCAGAGAGGTGTGAGCCTGTCACACCCTGCGCTGCGGCGGCGCCGGGCTTCCCTTGGCCTTGCACCCCCAGCGGGAGCTTTACAGTCCAGCAGGTGGCGCCCGAGGCCACCTTCACGCCTCCTAGCCAACAGCAATTCCCAGCCTGGGTAGACCCTCTCCCCCGGGTCATCCCGGGGCGAGAGGATAGGAGATGGAGAAACTGAGGCCCGAGGTGGTCAATCTTGTACCTGGGCTGAGGGTGCCAGGCCCCAAAGAGCGGAGTGGAGTAGTCTGGGACCCGGAAGCTGGTCGGCCGCCCCTACCCACCTCCCAACCCGCCTTGCCGGTGCGGCGGCGGCTACAGACAGATTGGCTTTATTCGTGGACACGCGGAGCGGGGAGGCGCCCGGGCCTGCCCACCCAGGACACGCTCACACGGGGGGGTAGGGGACTCTCCATGCCACAATCACGACACACGACGCCCGCGTTCGGACTGGGCCGGCTGAGGGAGGGGGCATGGCACAGCCTGGCTCCTGGTTTTGGCTTAAAAAAAAAAAAAGATTCTTGGGGTCGTTGTGGGAGTGGGGTGGGAGGCTCTGGGGCTGGCCCGGGGGTCTCCCAGAGAGCCTCTGTCGGGAGTGTGGGGGGGGAGCCGTCGCTTTCTGATCTTCATTTAAAAATACATAGAACATGCTACATCCGCGCAGACGTTGGACGGGATGGGGTGGGGAGGAGGCAACATAGGTGGGGCGAGGCTACCAGCCACGGCCGCAGCGCCGGCCCTGTCCACGCCCCAGGGTTGGACGCGGGCGGGTAGGACAGACAGATGGACAGACACCAACACAGGCTCCAAGGGGGCGCCTCGGAGCAAAGGAAGATCTCGTGTTTGGGGGGAAGGGGTAGAAGGACAGCCCTGGTTCTGGGGGTCGGGGCAGGGGACAGGGAAGGGATTGTGCTGCTGGTGGCGGGCCGTCCTGGGCCCTTACGCCTCTGGCTCATACTCCTGATACTCCTCCTGCATCAGAGGGTTGGGGGTGGAGTGGGGAAGAGCAAAAGAGGAAGGAGTTGGAGACCAAGTAGCCAGGTTTTGGCCCCGAGACTCCTCCCCCTCAAGGAGGAATAGCGCATGCCCCTCTCCCTGGGCAAGGGAGGAACCTGGAAGTTGGGGACAGCTGGGACTTTCCTGGGCAGGGGTGCCTGGGGCCCAGTGCTAGGCCCCATCTGTCCTCCCTCCTTGCTGCCACCTCCTAGGGCCTGGGTTCTAGAAAAGGGGGGTGTGGAGTTCCCTGGCCCAACTCTATCCTATCAGGACCTCCCACCCCAGCTGGGGATGGTGGCAATCTTCTGGGATGCCCAAAGCCCCACCCAGCCCTGCCACCCCTCACCTGGGGCGGTTCCTCATAACTCTCCCCTTCTGGCTCCATCAGGGGCTCGATCAGCGGCTCCTCAGCAGCTTCCTGGGCCACTTCCTCTGGCTGCTGGCAGAGAAGGGACAGGGCCATGAGGGCAGCTGGGGGATGCTCCCCAAATTCCCACCCTGGGAAGCTTTTGGCTGATTGGGGGGAAGGCTAGGCTTTGTTGGCAGACAACCAGAATTTTTAATTAAATTGTTTATTTGGAGTGCCTTGGAAGTGGAATGAAGGTGTGAGGGGTGAAATCCCCCTAGATCACCATGAAGCTGGGAGTGGCAAGGGGAAGTGGGGCTCTCTCATACCCCTCTCCCCAGCTTCTGGTAGCCCCCTGCACTTCCATCATTTGGACTGGATGGGATGGGGAGATAGACAGTACACTCAATCACCGATTTATCCCTACCTGCCTTGTGTCAGGTTCTGCTGGGCATCAGGACCCCAGAGATAACCCTGGAGGCTCCTCTGGACTGAAGGGAGATGGAAATTTTGAGACAGGGCTGGGCAGGAGCTCTGAGACAGGGCTGGGCAGGAGCTCTGAGCCATTCCCCTGCCACCTTCCACCCATCCCTCCCCCAGGGTCCTGTGTGGCCTGGTTTCTTCAGCTGTTGCTATTTTAAGATAAGCTGGAAGCAACAGCTCATGGTGTTGCTTGGATGTGTGAGCTAAGACTCTCCCCTCCCGCCTGCATCTGCTGCCCAGACGGGTGCAGAACAGCAGGCACACAAATAGGGGGGCTGCCAGACACATGGCCAGCCACCTGCAGGTGAGCACATGTATGTGCACAAACATGAGACAGAGCTGGCTGCACATGGGCACACACAATCACCCCGGGTCCATGCACAGCTGCACAAGGCCACATGTGGGCTGCCACACTCCTAGACCCCCAGGGGGAATCTGTAGGGAGGGGGTATACCACCTCCCCATTTCCCACATATAACCACTGTCCCTCCCTACTGGGCAGAGCTAAGAATCTTGGGAACCTGAGGGGTTGGCCCCGAGAAGGCCTGCCTGACCACCTCTGCCACCTAGTTGCCTTACCGCCCCCCCCCCACCCCCGGCAGCCTCAGTTCCTTCATATTACCAGCGCAGGTGGGCCCCGTGGGCACGTGAGTTTACAGCTCCTGACCTGGCTCATTTCCCCCGGTGTACAGATGGGTACACCAAGGCCTAGGAGGTGGGGAAATGTTAGTTTGCCCCAAGTCACCCAGTATTAAAAATTCCAGCCTGAGCGCATTGTTTGGCAACAACCCACATGCCCAGCAGCAGCGGAAGGGAGGTGTGCAGTATGGCTCCTCACGGGATGGATGGCGCACAGCGAGAGGGGAGAATGGCGTGGTTGAATACCACGCGTGGTTGAATACCGCACTGTTGAGTGCAAGCAGCCAGGTGCAGAAGAGTGTGCACTTTGTGATAATGTGTGTATGGAGTTAAAAATACCCAACTCGGGGTGCCTGGGTGGCTCAGGAGGTCAAGCGTCTGCCTTCAGCTCAGGTCATGATCCCAGGGTCCTGGGATCGAGCCCCGCATCGGGCTCCCTGCTCAGCGGGAAACCTGC